AAATAAAAAAAATGAAATGCAGACAAAAAACACATTGTGTAATCAGAGATGTAAGCTAGCAAAGCAACTAAGTACAAGGGCGTGGAGAAACTATAGAAATAACAGGTTCTAGAGAGCAGAGAAAGATACCAGAGCGCCAGGAATGAATACATCAGGGATCAGTGCTTGTGTCAGAAGCCAAACAAAGATATATAAGCATAATTAACAAGGGTCAAACATAAAAATGTTGATTCCCTCTCACATTGGCCTGCAGGAACATAATATCGATGATGCCCTTGCTAAGGTTGCAGTAAATAAAGACAGTATTGAACGGAATCTTGAGTTATCAAATAAGTCCCTTAAAAGAGTCATTAGACGAGAACTTCTGGATGAATTTGAAGAAAGTAGAACAGTGCAAATTGGAACTAGTAGGTCCATTGTTTACGAGAATGAAATGTGTGGAGTAAAACATGTGTATGGGGCAAGTAACAAAATAAGCAGACTAACAGACGATGTCACAGCTCGTATAAGACTTGGCTACAAGTATCTCTGGCAGTTCGGCTTGTATAGGGATTTAGATGAAGTAAAGTGTGTGGACAAAGGCAGGGACACACACTTGAACACTATATCTTGGATTGTAATAAAATTGAGCCATTTAGGTAAATCTAAACTCATGTTGTATTATATGGCAACCTATCTTATTACTAAGGATAAAATACCTGAAATCCTTGCACTGTATCCATATTTCGCTCCCAGCAGATAAACGCCATATGAGATTAAGAAACAAGTAGTGAATTGTGAAGACTAATAATAAACAGCCGTTCCCCTATGACTCTGTAATATCTCCATTGCTCAAACAATTATGTATTAGCGATAAGACCTACCATTAAAGAATAATGACATACTGTAAATATATAGCTCTTGAAATAGAACATTCTCTGTAACTAGCTGACATTGTAATTATAAGGTGTGAAGGACAGATAGAATTGTTTATGTAATAATCTCCGTTGAGGTCTGATAAAGACCTTCTGTGCCCTCTGTAATGTTTTTTGCGCTACCGCTCACAGGATGAGTATGGGGTGAACAATCAAAGGGAGAGAAGAGAGGCAGAGCGACAATATGAAAATGACATAGCAAGCAAGGCAAAGACTCAACCTAAATTGCTGCACAGCCGCATCAGGAGAAAAACAGTGAAGGAACAGGTAATGAAACTGGGGATAGGAGCAGACAGATTTACTACAAACGACAAGGAAGTGTGCGAGGGACTCGAAAAGAAATTCCAGGAAGTCTTCACAATAGAGGAAGAAGTGTTAGAGATAAGAGAGGGAATGCCTAACCAGACACCACTAGAGGAGTTTATGATTACAAGTGGGGAGGTGAGGAAGCATCTGTTAGATTTGGATGTGACAAAGACTGTAAGCCCGGATAGAATCTCACCATGGATACTAAAGGAAGGAGCAGAAGCTCTGCCTGCCACTATCTATGGTGTACAACAAATGGCTGGTAACAGATGAACTGCCAAAAATTTGGAAGTCCTAATGTGGTCCGAATATAGAAGAAGGTTAATAGACAGGCGGCACTGAACCAGTGCCAGTGTTCCTAACTTGTATACCATGTAAGATGATGGAGAAGATTGTGCGAAAAAACTAGTGGAACATCTGGATGCAGAGTACCTGAAAGGAAAGGTACTCCACTGGATAAAGTAGTACCTAAGCAACAGAAGACAGTGAGTAACTGTGAGGGGGGGGGGGATCTCAGTGGCGAAACGTCCCCAGTGGAGTACCACAGGGATCAGTCCTTGGACCTATTCTGTTTCTGATATACGTAAATGATCTCCCAGAGGGAATAGACTCGTTTCCTCGATGCTTCCTGATGCAAAAAAAATTATGAGGAGGATTAAGACAGAAGAAGATAGTATAAGGCTACAAGATGACCTAGACAAACTGAAGGAATGGTCCAACAAATGGCTACTAAAGTTCAACCCAAGTAAATGTAAGGTGATGAAACTAGGCAGATGAAATAGGAGGCCAGACACTAGATACCGAATGGGAGATGAAGTACTTCATGAAAGGGACGAAGAGAAAGATCTAGGAGTTGATATCATGCCAAACCTGTGTCCTGAAGCCCACATCAAAAGAATAACATCGGCGGCGTATGGGAGGCTGGCTAACATCAGAACTGCCTTCAGAAACCTGTGTAAAGAATCCTTCAGAACCTTGTATACCACATATGTAAGACCAATCCCGGAGAATGCAGCCCCAGCATGGAGCCCGTACCTTGTCAAGCACAAGACGAAGCTGGAAATAGTTCAGAAGTATGCCACTAGGCAAGTCCCAGAACTAAGAGCCATGAGTTATGAGGAAAGTCTGTGTGAACTGCACCTCGTGTTGCTGGAAGTCAGAAGAGCTCGGGGAGACATGATCACCACATACAAAATTCTCAGGGGAATTGACAGGGGTAGAAAAAGATGGATTATTTAATACGGGTGGTTCACAAACAAGGGGGGGCACAGGTGGAAGCTGAGTACCTAGATGAGCCACAGATACATTAGAAAGAACTTTTTCAGTTTCATTGATGGTGGTAAATGGGATGCACTAGGAAGTAATGTGGTGGAAGCTGACTCCATACACAGTTTCAAACACTGGACACGTGATCCTGTGGTCCCGGGTTTGATCCCGGGCGCAAGCGAGAAATAATGGGCAGAGTTTCTTTCCCTGATGCCCCTGTTACCTAACAGTAAATAGGTACCTGGGAGTTGTCAGCTGTCACGGGCTCATTCCTGGGGGTGAAGGCCTGGTCGAGGACCGGGCCGCGTTGACCCTAAGCCCCGAAATCATCTCAAGATGACCTCGTCTCATGATAGATATGATAGAGCCCAGTAGGCTCTGGAATCTGTACACCAGTAGATTGACGGTTGAGTGGCGGGGCCAAAGAGTAGATACTCAACCCCCCGCAAGCACAACTAGGTGAATACATGCTCCTCCTCTCTCCTGTTACCTAGCAGTAAATATTCAAGTTCCAATTCAAATAAATTTATTGAGGTATAAATACATGCAGTAAATAGGTACCTGGGAGTTAGACAGCTGTTACAGGCTGCTTCCTGGGGGTGTAAGAAAAAAAGTAGTTGGTAGTTAGTGACAGTTGATTGACAATTTAGAGGCGGGACGAAAAAGTAGAGCTCAACTCCCGCAAGCACAAGGTGAATACACGCTCGTCCTCTCCCCGCACTCAGTCCTCTACCCACACTGAACCAACTAGGCTGTAGTGGATGTGAGGGCCTGTGGGCCGCTCCAAGCAGTATCCTGTCTGACAAAGTTATCACAAGTCGAGCCTGACCTAAGGGCGGGCTCGGGGAGTAGAAAAACTCTCGAGACCCTCTCCAGGTATGCGCCAGGTACACACCAATTCCCTACACCTCCCCGCATCCACAAATGGCACGTAACACTCCCCTACACCTCAAACATTCTACTAAATCTCACGCTTCACTACACTGTGTATACAATAACTTATTTGTTTGTAATGGCCTACTAATTATGTGGAAATATATTGATCGCGTCAGTAAGGGGTTTTCTAATTCTTAATATGATCATTAAACATTGTACAGTTGAGTTCGTACTCGACGCACAATCGCGAATTTCGGGTGGGACAGAAAAGGTTGGGCACATTTACTTCCCCCTAATGCGCCTGTTCACATAGCAGTGAGTAGATACTCAGGAAGTAGGTACTCAGGAGTTAGTTTCCTGTGGGGATGCATCCTGGACAGGGGACCTCGATATAAGCCTAACGTGAATGAATACACTCTGACCTCCTGTCCCCAGACACAATGAATTATCATGTGATTATCAAAAGGCTCCCAGAATCCCGTTTAAAATGTATACTGTATTCTCTTATGCACTATGTCTTGTACATATACAGCATGTGTATGTATGGGGGTTAGAAATGGGATAATAATTAAATTAATTTAATTAATTAATTTAAGGAAAGTATATACCTCTATTTCAGGCAGTAGCTATGCTAGTTCGTTCTTGAAGGGAGTGAATTTTAAAATACAACACTTCGTTTTACTTCAATATGGTGTCCTCTGGGTTTCATATTATTAAGTATTAATAAAAACTGTTCGTAGCCAAGCTAATGCTTACCAGATCAATTTATCTATATAACAGTTCAGGATAGACCTGTGCACTTTGGGATTTATTTTATACTATTTAGGATTTTGCACGTAAATTATATTAATACAAAATAAACATTAAAAAATCACGTTTAAACTCGTATTCTAAAGAAACATGGACTCACGCGTGAGCAGCATAGCAAAATAACACATCTTCAGTCTCACAATGTCAGTGTTTCAACACGATCTTCGTCCACAGTCGATACGGATATCGTAGTTTATCAGAAGGCTTCCTAGAGAAGTTCATCTCTGTATGAAGAGCGTTGTTTCATGTCACTGTATCGTTTTCTTTAAAATTAGCAGCATGATATGGTCACAAATTATCACATCATCGAGTGGGTGGGAAAGTGTAGACTTGCGGAATCAAATCCTTTTACACGGCAAAACAAGCGTTATTTTCCTTTCCAAGAAGTTTTTCTGACCTTCAAAAATCGGAGAAGTCCTTCATAGCCAGCTTTACAACCACTAAATGCAGCCACTCCATGATGATTCACTGGGAGAAGGAAAAACTCGAGTAACAAGAGGGAGGCAGGCGAGAGGAGGAGAGGTCGAGTCAGCTGATGGTTTGTTTACTGCTGATGTGCAAATGGCGGACGTGAGCGGCGCTCTGGTGGCCGCCCAGACAACTACACTGCGCAGCATGACACCCGAAACGCTCTCGCCTCGCCTCACGTATTGTAAGTATTGCTCACTTTTACCTTTGTTGGTTCTGATATAGCTCGGTGTGTGGTCCCAGATATTATAGATGTGCCGGGAGAACTGTAGGACGAGTAACATATATTGAAGGTGCCACGATTGCTGTATAGGAAAGGTTTTTTCTCGCTATGTCTTCGTTTTGGCGGTGAGGGAGGCCATATTGGCCTCAACCCCAAACAGGCTCCCTCAGGACGGTTGTTGATGTTTCATAGACATTGAACTGAATTATACGACTTGTCATTGACTTTGTGGATACAGGAACACCATTTGTGAAGTCTGAAATGTTTGTGACTTATGTTGATGAGTGTCCATAATGTTCTTTAAGCGACATATGCGATTATTTGCATTTAAAGAAAGCTGCCGACGGTTTGGTGAAATTGAAGCAGTTGTGGAACATACATGATGTATGAGATCGTTAATACAGTAACCTCAAGACTAGTTTCCAGTGATCGATAGTAACAATTGCAAATGCATGGACAGATATAGTGTTGCGATACTTTATCTAAAAAATCTTAACTGGTTTAATGATCCAAGTAGAAATATGACATCTGCTTCCCATGGATGAGGTATCCAACTTTCAACACTTGGCTTACCTTTTAGCTACGAATTTATAAGCCTGAAAATGTGATTGTATGGAACCAGACCTACGAAACAGCAAATAGCTTTTAATCTGGTTTGAAGGTAGGATGAACTTAGGTTAGAGTACAGTTCTATGACTTTAATGGAAGTAAGACCAGTAGTTGAAGTACATCACCACCTTTAATGTATTTTGCAAGTCATTATCAGTAATTGCAGTATTTAGTTAAGCTTAGAATGATAGTGGCATGACTGAAAATGACTGACAAACCAAATAAACCATAAATATGAGAAATGTGTGGGGCAAATAATTAGCAGGAATTTCATTTAATTTTTTCTGCTTAGTGTTTTTTGTGAGGCAAACAACATACCAAAGGCAATTAATAAGTGTTGATATAAGTTTAATAGTGAAAGATGTGAAACTTCCATGCAGAATATATCAGTTAGATTTACCACTTTTAAAACATCAAATATATCCATATTAGGATGTGGTTAAGAAACATTTGTCATTTTAATTCTGATTTAACTAGTCTACTGTCTGTAAATGTTTGATGCTTTATTAGGCCAGGAAAGCAGTTTTTTCATTTTAATGTGTCATTGTTATGGAGAGTAACATTAATATGAAATTTACATAATCCTAAGTACTGCAGTGTACTAAATGGCACATAAGTAAGAGGCAGGTCTATGCCTTCTGTACAGAACAGTATACTGTATATGTATATGCAATATTTAGGCATAGCTATTTACATTGGGAAATGAATATTTTCTAAAGCCTTTCACCATGACCACTTGATATCCAGCTAATTTCTTTTGTCATTGACTTATTTGGAAAGTTTTCTTCTATAGCTTAGGATATTGACATGAACCATGTTTGTAGAATAATTGAGAATTATTCTGTGAACTGGATATAGTAGTGCAGTATTGTATGCTGCAGTATACAGTACTGCATTATGTCCTTTCAAGCAATTTATGGTTTAAACTTGAACACATTATCATTATTCATAAAAAGTACAGCTCACATGATGTTCCATGGTCAGTGCTGTAAATGCATTTATAATTTTTAATAGGTAATGAAGAGCACAAAGTTGTCACAAATAACAAAGGATTTGTAGCCTTTATTAAGCCTCTAATTATGAATACTGTTTTAGCAAATAAATTAGACTATGTAGACAGTGTTCTAAAAAAGGGATCAAGAGTTTCAGGAAGCTTGAACATATAGAAAGTATGCACTTTATATGTAAGAACTGTCAGGGGCATCAGTCTTGTTTGATTTAACCTTAACTTGAAAGCTTGGAACAGGGCTTGAATAAAATGATTGATAAACACAAGATATTGCTAGTTTCAAATGCATTAGGATATTGTATATTGATTAATGTATCCCTATACTGTACTTTGTTGTCTTGTTAAATGGTTGATATGCTGTACCCAGATATTGATTGATTAATGCTCCAATATAGTGTTGATTGATAAATACACATAGATACAGTATAGAATTGTTTGGGGGGCACATTTACAGTGTATCTTTTCTTGTAATGCAGATGATTGACATTGTTATTGTCATAGGATTTGCAAGACTGTATATAGGATACTATAAATACTGATTCAAGTAATAACACTGAAATAGGAGTACAGTGCATAAAGTAGTTAAAATGTATGTTACCAGTGCACAGTACACACATGTACTTTAAACAAAAAATCAGAAATTTCTATCAACTTTAACATAGATCTTTTTTAGATGAATATAAGCCAAATTTTATTTGATCAGTTGTGTTAGTGCCCTGTGTCATCTCATTAATGTAACATTGAATGACTGCCACAACTTTGCCATAATATTTTAGTTAGTATTTCTTCAGCATTCTTTTGTAATAGTGGCTTGTGGCTACTACACGCACATTAATGTCTAAAATGACACATCAAATTTTCATTTTACAGTGTTTGTCTTTATTGTGTAACATGGCATTGAAATTGTCCCCATATTTTAAACCCTGATTGAATTCATGTATTTCATTTTTTTCAGAAAAGAAGTACTGTATATGGAATTATATCATCAAAAATGGACTATCCACAGGGTATGTAATGTGTGTGTAATTCTGGAATAAAACAAGCCCTCACTGAAGTTGAAGCATCCTCTACTAATTTCTTAAATGTTTTCTTGCAAGGAATATTTAATTTATATATTTTGTATCTATCTAATTAAATACTGTACATGATAATGTAGTACAATGGGATTTGTACAAATATTATTGTGTAAATACTCTTATAAAAGTGACAATATACTTATTTTTTGACTCCTCTTATGTATGTATGGAATATACTTGTACAGTATATTGTGTGTGTGTACTCACCTAATTGTACTCACCTAATTGAGTACAATTAGGTGAGTATACACACACACACAGGTATATGTGTGCACGTGTGTGTGTGTGTGTGTGTATGTGATATAATGTAGATATAATATAAAAGTTGTTAGGGTACCACCTCTGGTGCAATTGTAGGGACCCATAGCCTCGGAGAAGAAAATAGAGTATTCAGTAATGCAACCTTGTGGATTCTCACTGAACACTTTAATATTTTCTTCTCCTACCACCCCTATTCTTTTTTGTATACAGTATATACATATTTTGTCATTTGATTTTATTTAAAATTTCATTACACAAAAAGGGATACAACATTGGTCACATGCAATATTTATACTGTATATATTTTTTATTACACAAATTTCAAACCAAATAGCAAATGGATAGAACACCTAAAGACAAATTATATAATAATAGAGAATTAGGTTTTCAAACAGGAAGATCCTCTGGCACAAATCTACAGTACTAAGTTTCTATGATGAAGCCACAGGGATTTTACAGGAAAGAGATGATTGTGTCGACTGCATTTATCTGGACCTGAAAGGTTTTTTGACAGTCCATAATAAGAGATTGTTTTGGAAACTGGAATATCCTGGAGGGATGAGAGGGAGCTTTTTAACATGGATGACAATTTTGCTGAGAAAATAATGAGAGCAGTAATCAGTGGTAATTCATAAAACTGGAGGAATATTACTAGTGGCATACCACAGGGCTCAGTTTTGGCGCTCATGATGTTCATTGTTTGTATGAAAAATCTACCAGAATGAATATATAATTGTAGGAACATGTTTGATGATGCCAAACTACCAGGGAAGATAAGAAACTTAAATGGTTGTCATGCCTTTCAAGATGACTTGGACAAAACAAGTGTATGGAGCAATGCTTGGCTGATAGAATTTAATGTGAATAAATGGCAGGTTATGGAATCTGGAATAGGAGAAAATATACTACACACGACATATAAATTATGTAAAAAGGCTTTAAAGAAATCTGAAGAGATCTAGGGGTGGTCCTGGATAGAAAACTCACTTGAGGACCACATAAAGAACATTGTGTGAGGAATGTGTTATATATAACATGTGTTATATATGCAAAAGATAGATGATAGAAGAAAAAGAGGCGCTATACAAAATATGGCGTACTGCTTACAAAATAGTAACAATAGTAATAGTCGAGAGAGTTTACCAAGAAGACTTCTTGAAAGCTGCATCTTCAAAAAAAGGTCATAAACTCGGCTAAGGAAACAAAGCTACTAAAAAATTAATACATTCTTCTTTGAAAATAGAATGGTAGATGGTTGAAACAAGTGAGAAAGATTGTGGTTAATGCCAGAACTGTTAGTAGCTTCAAGTATAATTACAAAGAGTTCTGAGAATACTGTACAGGACACCACAAACATAGCTTTCATCCTGCAACTACATTTTATATGATTACAATTGTTCACATCTTTTGTGAGATTAAGATTGAATATGCAGCATTCATATGGTGCCCATATCTTAAGAAACACATCAAACTGGAAAAGGTGCAAAGACATGCAACTAAGTGGCTTCCGGAATTGAATGACAAGAGCTACAAGGATATGTTAAGAGGCATTACATATGCCAAAGCTAAAAAAATGGAAGGAAAAATTGGTGATATGATCATAACGTACAAAAAGTACCTGCTTGATGGGGTTCTGGGATTTCTTCTACTCCCCAAGCCCGGACCGAGACGAGGCTTGACATGAGTGTTTGGTCCACCAGGCTGTTGCTGCTAAACTGGAAAAGGTTCAAAGGTTTGCCACCAGACTAGTACCCGAGCTGAGAGGTATGAGCTACAAGGAGAGACTACGGGAATTAAGCCTCACTGCGTTGGAAGACAGAAGAGTTAGGGGGGACATGATCACCACATTTAAGATTCTCAAGGGAATCGACAGGGTAGATAAAGACAGGCTATTTAACACAAGGGGCGCACTAGGGGACACAGGTGGAAACTGAGTGCCCAAATGAGCCACAGAGATATTAGAAAAAACTTTTTTAGTGTCAGAGTGGTTGACAAATGGAATGCATTAGGAAGTGATGTGGTGGAGGCTGACTCCATACACAGTTTCAAGTGTAGATATGATAGAGCCTAGTAGGCTCAGGAATCTGTACACCAGTTGATTGACAGTTAAGAGGCGGGACCAAAGAGCCAGAGCTCAACCCCCACAAGCACAAATAGGTGAAATAGGAGAGTACACACATGGCTGAGTGGACAGTGCTCAAGGGTCGTAATTCTAATGGCCCAGGTTCGATTCCCGGCTAAGGCGGAAACAAATGGCAGAGTTTCTTTCACCCTGATGCCCCTATTCACCTAGCAGTTAATAGGTACCTGGGAGTTAGAGTGCTGCTACAGGCTGCTTCCTGGAGATGTGTGGATGTGTTAAAGAGAAATATATGTAGTAGACATAAGAGGAAAAATAGATTGGTTAGAAAGGGAGTATGGCAAAGTACCACAGGGTTCAGTTCTTGCACCAGTAATGTTCATTGTCTACATAAACAATTTAACAGAAGGTATTCAGAATTATATGAACATGTTTGCAAATGATGCTAAGATACTGTGGAAGATAGATGCAGATGATTGTAATGCTTTTTAAATTGATCTAGATAAAATAAGTGCTTGGAGCATCAAGTGACAAATGGAATTCAATGTGAATAAATGCTATGTTATGGAATGTTGAATAGGAGAAAATAGACGACCCACAACTTACAAATTATGTGGAAAGGAATTACAGAACTCTGGCCTAGGGGTGTTTGTGAGAGGAGCATTTGCGTTGCTTTCCAACTTCAGACTTGCTTTTAAATATGTTTATGGGTGGTGAAATATTAAAGAAACTATTTGTGACTTATGAGACCAAAATTGGAATATACAACAGTTGTATGGTGCCCAAATCTCAAGAAGCACATAAATAAACTTGAAAAGTACCAATGGCATGCTGCAAAATGGCTTCCGGAAATGAAAAACAAGAGTTACATGGAGAGACTAGAAGCATTAAACATGCCAAAACTAGATGATAGAAGAAAGAGGAGATATAATCACTACTTAAAAAATACTAACAGGAATAGACCAAATTGACGGAGGAATTCCTGAAACCAGCAACTTTACGAACAAGAGGACACAGTATGTTGACCAGACCACACACTAGAAGGTGAAGGGACGACGACGTTTCGGTCCGTCCTGTGTGGTCTGGTCAACATACTTTAGCCACGTTATTGTGACTCATCGCCTGCAAGAGGACACAGATTCAAGCTAAGAATTTTGTTTTGCCAACAGTGGTAGACGGTTAGAACAAGTTAAATGAGAAAGTGGTGGAGGCCAAAACCGTCAGTAGTTTCAAAGCATTATACAACAAAGAGTACTGTACTGGGAGGACGGGACACCACGAGCGTGTAGCTCTCATACTGTAAGTACATTTAGGTAATTACAGACTTTATAATTATAAATACTTAATAGTCAGAGTTGCCTTATAAGCCAATATATATTTTTTTTTCTTTTTATATCTTGTGGATTGATATGTTCATTTTAATGAGCAAGATGCATTGTTTGTAATTTGAACCAACACTAACTTAGTATCCGTACCTAACCTAAATATGATAATCATTTCTCGGTACTGTACAGTACTACCCAACATAGATAAAACTAATTAACAAAGTAAGTAATTAATGTAGTCATTATACAGTATGTTAATGTTATTAAAGTAGAACTAATTTTGCAAGACATTTCTGAAAATACATGAAATTCCTTTGGCTGTTAGGCAAAACAATCCTTGCCTATTGTGAAGTAAATACTTTGACCACTGTAGGCCAATTTGAGGTATTAAGTGTGTGTGTGTGTGTGTGTGTATAAAATTGGTTCCTACTTAATATCTGAGAAGCTTAACAAAATTACAGCTTCTAAGAAAAAAAATTAGTTTGTGTTCTTATTTTGTAACTATAAAATGTACATTTAAGGCATACACAAAAATGTTATTTTCTTTAGGGTTAATTTTCCTTGATACAAAAATAAAACCTGAAGTGATGTGATTTTTTTCTTTAATATACATACATACATACATACATGCATACATACATACATACATACATACATACATGCATACATACATACATACATACATACATACATACATACATACATACATATATATATATATATATATATATATATATATATATATATATATATATATATATATATATATATATATATATATATGCAGTATACTGATACTATTTTGAGAGGAACATTACAGAAAAGCATTCAGGCCACCCTCAATGCTTTTTACATTTTGTTTCATGTTTTTATCAGCTTTTTAATAGCATATTTTGCTAGTATGTTCTGAGTAGTTACATTCCGTTAATAAGAGTTTTGCAAATTATATGATAACTTGCATATGGAGTAAACGGGGGGTAGCTTTATTTTTGCTCATAACTATGCCTGGGCATTATTGTGTTGGAGTGTAGTATTCTATTGCATCAAGCAGACAGGGATTTTATTTATCTTTCCTTGTTGGCCTTTAAAAGTAATGCAAGTTAGACTTTTGAGAAGATGTTCCTAAATAAAATGGGCATTTTTCATTCCCCATTCTGCTCTTTCAAATGTAAAAGAAAGTTATGACATGGTATCTAAAGAGAGGCAGCAGTATAATAATATTCTCCAAGATGTGCTTACTGAATGCTTCAGTGCTACAGAATAGT